GCAGCAGCTATGGCCCTGCGTTACCCTATGGCCGTGGGCCTCAATAAGGGCCACAAAGTGACGAAGAACGTCAGCAAGCCGAGACACAGCCGGCGCCGCGGGCGCCTCACCAAGCACACCAAGTTCGTGCGGGACATGATCCGAGAGGTCTGCGGCTTCGCGCCCTACGAGCGAGCGCCGCGCCATGGAGTTGCTCAAAGTGTCCAAGGACAAGCGCGCACTCAAGTTCATCAAGAAGAGGGTGGGCACGCACATCCGCGCCAAGTGAAAGTGGGAGGAGCTGAGCAACGTGTTGGCAGCCATGAGGAAGGTGGCGGCCAAGAAGGATTGATGAACCCTCCCCCAATAAAAGATCATGGCTCCTTAAAAAAAAAAAAAAAAAAAAAGAAAATGTACATGCCATATGTTTAGAGCAAGTGTGCAATGAGGTCCTGTTATGCAGTATGGATGACCACTGTCTAAAATACCTCAGATGCATTATCACAGTTGATTCTCAGTTGACTTATGGCCACTGTACATTCAGAACCTCAAGTATTGCCCAAATTTTCTAGTCCCATGTCCAGTTCAACTGCAGATGAGTCGAAAACCATGCTTAGTTGTGGTTTAATATATAGGTACACTGTATGATCCTTTTTCAGCTCGCAGACTACGAGCTGGCTCAAAGAATGTGAGTTTAATGCTTGCTTAATTGGGTTACTTTTTTTTTGTTTGTTTTGTTTTGTTTTTTGAGACAAGGTTTCTCTGTGTAGCCCTGGTTGTCCTGGAACTCACTCTGTAGACCAGGCTGGTCTCAAACTCAGAAATCCACCTGCCTCTGCCTCCCAAGTGCTGGGATTAGAGGCGTGCGCCACCACCGCCCGGTGGGTTACATTTAAAACTGAAAGATTAGAGATAAAAATCTAGGTTGGCAATAGTTGATCTTTATTCTGTCAAGCAAGTCAGCTGTAGTTGAATAGTGACTTTTCCATTCACAAGAGCCTCGTGTCCTTCCTTAACCACTCCACATGCTTGACTTCATGCATCCTGACCATGACAGTAGGTGTGTGGAGATGTTAGCAGAGTCAGAATCCCAGGGCTGTTGTCTGGGATGCATTAGCAAAACCAGTTACCTGCAGCAGCCTCGCTAAAGCACACATAGATTTAGACAGTTTCCTACACCTAGGTAGTTAGGATCTTTTCTGCCCTGTCTATACCTTTTAAAGTCATGCCATCTTCTGAAACTTAAAAATACCTAATTTTGTGTCCTTGTAGTATAGCACGAGCTGTGTGTGCGCCTTCAGGATAAAGGCTATTAGTTTTTGGGGGAGGAAAACGCATTGATTTTTAAATATCTCAGAAATGTTTCAGTTTTGATGTTGTTCAGTTGGGTTTTGTTTGTTTTTTCTTAAACAATACTGAAGACACAAAGTCCTGATAAGTGTGTAGATATTCTCAGAGGAAAATCTTCAATTGTTATTATTTTTCCTTTTATTTTATAATAAGCATTCTTTTATTTATTCATTCATTCATTTTATATCTTGATAGAAGCCCTCCTCTCTCCTCTCTTCTCAGCCCCATCCTCTCCCACCTCCCCCTCTCCTCAGAGATGGGAACACCCTCCCTTCCCCAGGTACCAGGCTGCCCTGGCACATCAAGCCTCACCGGGAATAATAGCATCTTTTCCCACTGAGGCAGACAAGGCAGCCCAGATAGGCAAAGGGATCCAAAGGCAGGCAACAGAGTCGACTCAGAGACAGTCCCTACTCCAGTTGTTAGGGGACTTACATGGAGACCAAGCTGCATATCTGCTGCTTATGTGTAGGGGGGCTAGGTCCAGTCCATGCTTGCTCTTTGGTTGGTGTTTCAGTCTGTATGACCCCATGGGCCCAGGTTATTTGGCTCTTTAGGTCTTGTGGTGTCCTTGACCCCTCTGGCTCCCTCAGTCTTCCCCCCACCAACTCTTCTATAAGACTCCCTGAGCTCTACCTGATGTTTGGCTATGAGTCTCTGCATCTGTTTCCATCAGCTGCTGAATGAAGCCTCTCAGATGGCACTTGTGCTAGGCTCCTGTCTGCAGGCATAGCAGAGTAGCATTAATAGTGTCAGGGGTTGGCGCTCTCCCATGGGGTAGGTCTCAAGTTGGCCCAGTCATTTGTTAGCCATTTCTTCAGTCTCTGTTCCATCTTTATTCCTGCACATCTTGTAGGCAGGGCAGATTTTGGGTCAAAGGTTTTATGGGTAGGTTGGTGCCCCACTTCCTCCACTGGAAGTCCTGCCTGGCTACAAGAGGTAGTCACTTAGGCTGTATATCCCCTGCTGCTAGGAGTCTAAGCTAGAGTCACCCCATATCCTCCCAGGAGCTCCCCCTTTCCAAGTCTCTTGCTTGTCCCAGAAATGTGCCCCTACCAATTTCCTTTCTCTTTCTCAACCCTCTCACCCCCACCCCTTGCTCTCCCCACACCTGATCCCTACCTTCATTCCCTTCCCCACCCCCTCTCCCACCCAGTTCCCTCTCTCCATTCACGTCTGATGTCTATTTTATTTGCCCTTTGGCGTGGGATTCAAACATCCCCCCCCTTGGGACCACCTTATTACCCAGTTTCTTTGGGATTGTAGCATAGGTATCCTGCACTTTATCACTAATATCTACTTAGAAGTGAGTATATACCATACGTGTCTTTCTGGGTCTGGGTTACCTCACTCAGAATATTTTCTAGTTCCATCCATTTGCCGGAAAATTTATGATGTCCTTGTTTTTAATAGCTGAGCGGTATTCCTTTGTGTAAATGTAACACTTCTTTAAAATCCGTTCTTCCGTTGGGAGCTATCTGGGTTGTTTCCAGTTTCTGGCTGTTACGAATAAAGCTGCTATGAACAGAGTCGAGCAGGTGTCCTTGTGTTATAGTGGAGCGTGGTATAGTTGGATCTTGAGGTAGAACTATTCCCAGTTTTCTGAGAAACCGCTAAATTGATTTCTAGAGTGGTTGTACAAGTCTGTACTCGCACCAGCAATGGAGGAATGCTTCTCTTGTTCCACATCCTTGCCAGCATGTGCTGTCACTTGAGGTTTTTATTTTAGCCATTCTGACAGGTAGGTATAAGATAGAATGTCATTTTGATTTGCATTTATTTCCCTGATGTTGAACATTTCTTTAAGTGCTTCTCAGCCATTGAGATTCCTCTGCTAAGAATTCTGTTTAGCTCTGTACCTCCTTTTAAAATAGAATTTTTTGGGTTGTTGGAGTTTAATTTCTTGAGTTCTTTATATATATTAATCATTCTTTTAAGCTCCCATTTGTATTTGTTTGCCTGAATGTGTGTTTATTAGAGTTTTATTATGTATCCCTACCTGGCCTATACAAGACTTGGCTCTGTAGACTTGACTGATTTTTTACTCAAGAAAATTCTGCTTCAGCTTTTTAAGTCTACAAAACATGCATGTGGCATCACATCTGGCTTAATACTTTTTAAAACAACATATATACATCATATACCTGAGTGACTGTAAGCTTCTTGTTTGTGGGTAACAGGAGAACAAGAGAGGTGTTGGAAGCCATGGAGCTAGAGTATCAGGTAATAGAGGTGCTGGGCCCTCAGCTTAGGGCTCTCTGGATGTGCAGGAAGTACTCTTAGAGACTGGGCCACCTCCCCTGCTCTCTCTGGTTTGGTACTTTTAAACAGACAAGTTTCTTAGTTACTATTTAATTTTTTTTTTAAGAATGGAAGGAAATATTGGCAGTATTTTAAGACTGGCTTACTTACTCACATATTTAGTAACTTGGAGGGTTTAAAAAATATTTCTAAATGTGTCCCATAATTTTGAAACTTTTAGATCATTTGTAATTCCTTGGGTTAGAGAAAAATTATTGCCTGTGCCTGTTGCTGGGTCACAGTTTTTGGGCTGTTCTGTCTAGTAGAAAAAGCCCTGATAACTGTTTCTGTGGAACTAGGAAGATTTTTATTAGTATATTCTCTTTCAAAAATGCTCATTAATGTATTTTCTAGTTATAATTACAGAGGGCTAATGCCACCTAACCTATTAAATATAAAGGACATTGATATTGATTTCATATACAGCCTAAAGGCTAATGACCTCTTGGGTGGGTGGACGTTGTTCTGCTTTTCCTATTGTCTGGTAGTGATGGTCTCTCCTAGTTGCAATGTCTTTAGTATTCTTAGGTACTACAGCCAGTCATTTCTGCTCTTCCCATGATTACTGTCTTCCTTTTACACAAAAAGAAACAAAAAGCCACAACCTAGGACTTAAAAGAGTCTCTCCTATAAAGTGAGACATAATGTGTATCTTAAAAGTATCCGTATGTTTATAGACTACACATGTTTATTCAACTCAATTATTTTGGGATATTTGTTTTAACTATGAAATCCAGTATTATAATTCTGCTTACTGAAAAAAAATATTCACCGACAAAATGAAAAGTTTTAAACTTTCCTTTCATTACAGATGTAGCCATTTCATTAGATTTTTAGCAGCATATGGTTGATGTAAGGATGTAAGGATGACAGTTAGGTGTCAGGAGGTAGAAAATTGGTATAGGGAGATTTCAGCATAAGTCATACTTGAAAGCAAGATGGGGCTGCTTTGTTTTTGTTTTCTTCTTAAATCAGTCTTCCGAGCTGTAGTCCACCGTAAGCACCATTTACTGGTCAGTTTCTGTGGTAGGCCCCAGAAGCTGCTGAAGCCAACAAACCAAGGCAAGCAAGCTGATTTCGTTTTCTTATTCTTTTGGCCTAAAATTTTATTATCAGACTTGGCTTGTATTCTTAACCCAGGGTGCCAGAAAAAAAGTACACAATACTTATGCTCATTTTCAATGCTCATATTTTATTGTAGCCAGTTAGAGCTACTTTTAGTGATGGCTGCGGCTGCTAGACCGCAGGGCAGTGGTGACTCCTGTAAATACCTATTTCCAAATGTTCTCCTCCCTTCCAGCTCATCGCAACAGTTTTAAAACCAGCCTTTGTTTTTGTTTTGTTTTGTTGCTTTGTTTTGTTTTTAACAGGAAAGCCAGTGTAACTCCTTCAAGACTGGGTGGCACACACTGCGTGCATCTGCCTCATGTGAGTTCTGGTTTTGGGCAGCAGTACTCTGCTGGGCTGGAACCTCTGTAGAGGTTTGCCCTTTATTTTTCTAAAGTCTATAAGCTCCTCACACAGTGTGTCTTGTGACAATGATAAAAGGTGCATATGCATTCCAGGCTTTTGGCAGAAACTCTCCTTAGTCCAAAGGAGCGTTCTCTGCTCATGTCAGTCAGCTCTGTTTTGGATGAGTGAACAGCTTCCACACAGAGCAGAGCCCACAGCTTCATCCCCACAGCATGCAGTTATTTTTGAAGAGCTGTTTTTCCTTGAAGATTATTGAGTAAAGAATATCTTTAAATGCACTCTGTAGCTTCAGCTTTCAGAGCTTTGGCTGTTCTCATTATAGTCTTGTTACGTAACTGAGAACACTGTGTGCTGTCCTAGTGGCTGAAGCAGGGTGGTGTTTTGTTTTGTTTTTCCTATTTCTTTTGGGCTTTGGCCCTTAAAACAATTTCTTTCTTTGTCTTTGGATTTTGGGTAAATTGGGCTAGTCGCAGAATCTCCTCTGAGAATAAGTAAGCAGTTCATGTGAGATTGCCGTACTCAGAAACCGTTGTCCAGTGCTGGAACCCTGGGAAGTTGGTTGTGAGAGCGATGCTTGAAGCTTCTGATTATTCGCTTTCCTGTTTTGTGAGAAAACTGAAGTTAGAGCTTTTGCAGCTGTGGGAAGGCACAGAGCTCTGCAGTCTGACGGATGTAGGCTGCTGGTCCCTGCAGCCAGTATCTGTGGCCAGTTTAAAGGGCTCACTTGTTGGGGAAAAAAAAAGATGAAGTTTTTGATTTCTTTTTTAACTGTTTTTGAGACAGGATCACATTAAGTAGCCCTGTGTGGCCTGAAGCTCATTGTATAGGGCTGTCCTTGAACTTGAGAACTCATGCCTGCCCCATGCCTCGAGTGCTTCTTTTACCTTTATCTTTGGAGGAGGGTAGCACTACGTAGGCTTCATGACATTGTCCAACCAGGTCAGAATAAATGCTGTTTTTGTTTTTGTTTTTCCCAAGGCAGCATTTAGAAGAAACATCTAAAGCCCTGGTTTGTGAACGACAGTTCTGCTCCTTTAGCTGTGGCTGTGTTTTGATGTAGGTCTACAGATGATTTAGTGACCTGGGAGTGTTCACTGCTGAAACGATTATCCGAAAGGCTTATGAGGAGATGTCAATAGCTTGTCCATCTTGCTGATTAATATAGAGCTTGGTGAAATAGATAGGGCTGTTAAAGAAGAACTTGGACTCTATGTGAGAAATCCATTCCCACCCAAGACTAGGGCAGTCTGTTCTGGCCCAGTTGGAAAAAATTAGCAGAGTCTAGTGTGCTTCAGCATTCAAGCTTAAGCTCTGATGGCCTGAGTAATCTAGAAGGTCATAGAAACAGTTACAGACCCAGGTACACTTGTATCAGCTCAGGTCAGGAAATGCAGAGGACTTACTGCATTTCTGGGAAGTACCATGAACTGACTTAGAGGAAGGAGACTTAGTGTTTCTAAGGTGAATTTATAGAAAGTCACCATAATTAAATATTTGAGAATTTTTGTCCTCTGAACACAGTGTAAATGTGGTATTTTGGTTTTACTGTTGTTTCTTTAGGATTTAGAATTATTTTTCTATATTTTTTCACTGGTGAAATTGTTTCCTAGGTATGCCAGGAAGCTACACCCACAATACCTCAGTAATATAGCTGCCTAAAGACCTGAATAATAACAATATCATTAGACATGCTAACGTAGAAGTGAGAAATCTCACAGATTCCACATTAATTAAAGAACTACAGGCAACTAACAAATGACTATTGATAGAGAATTTCCCTCTCCCAGGGATAGTCCCCCAATTGATTATTTAATACAAAGTAGTCAGCCTTGAAATCATATTCATACAAGCCACACTGAATGGACTTAGTAGGTGTATGTGTGTGTGTGTGTGTGTATGTGTGTGTATGTGTATATATATGTATATATATATATATATATATATGCATTTGTGTATATATATATGCAACAACAATAATAATAAGAGGCCATTAATTTTAGAGGGAGTAGGGAAAAAAACACTGGAGGGTTTGAGAGAGGACAGGAAAGGGAGAACTTAAGTAATTATATTTTAATTTAAAATTTTTAATAAGAAAAAAATAATGCTAAATTCATTTGACCTTCAGTTCAGATTGTCTCATGGACATAATTTTCAATGACCAATTCATCATAACTCATTAACCACAGAAAATTGTCAATTTAGGCATGAGTTTGAGAGTGATGGGAGAATAGGTCTAGTTTGTTTGTCTGTTTCGTTTTAAAGATTTGTTTATTTATTATGTATACATTGTTCTCCCTGAATGTATGCCTGCACACCAGAAGAGGGGGCCAGATCTTATTCTAACAGATGGTTGTGAGCTGCTATGTGGGTGCTGGGAATTGAACTCAGGACTTCTGGAAGAGCAGCCAGTGCTCTTAACCTCTGAACCATCTCTCCAGCCCCAGGCTTAGTTTTTAATCTTTATTTTGAAGGCATATTCAGCAAATTATCCTTCTTGAAATATTAGTAATTGACAACATTTCACATGAGCCAGATCCTAGAAGAAAAAAAAAGGTCAGCTGTACTGGATTTTTTTTTCCTTGAATACTTTTTAATTAAGTAGGATTTTGATTATATAAGGATAAGTTAATTTGGAGTTTTAGAAATTTTGTCAAAAGGGACTTTACAATTGACATGATGTCATGTCTGGGGAAGGTAGGTGAAGAATGGTAGTTTTTGTTTTTCAGTATAAATCAGTTTTGTACCAGGGGTCCCATGCCTTCCTGGTCACCAGCTCTTACTCTGTTGATGCATGTAAGTCTGCAGTACTGCCTTTGTCTTTGCCACAGGCACGTCAGACAGATTGGAATTCCACGTTGAAGGCTTCAGGGTTTATTTTTTGTTTTGAGGGAACATAGCATAGATAGAGAGGCTAAAGTAGAAGTTATGGGAGGAAAGAAGTCTAGCTGCTTTTGAAAACATCCAGAGTTGCTGGGCATGGTGACACACCTCCTTAATCCCAGCTCTCAGGAGGCAGGCGGCTCTCCTTGAGTTCAATGCCAGCCTTCAGAGTGAGTCCCAGGACAGCCAGCACGACACAGAGAAAACTTGTCTTGAAAAACCAAAAAAGAAAATCAAATATCTAGTGTTAGTTAGCGTTGGGGAAGAGCAGCAGCTGGAAGAAGGGGCTCCTGGGGAGTTCGGGTCAGGGGCAGGTATGCAGCCAGGAGGACTGGCACCAGACTTGACTTTGATATGTTAATGGGCAGCACAGTGGTTAGCAGTTTGTCCTGGGTTTGAGACCTGACGGTACCAGTTTGAATAGGCAAACAAATGGCAAAGTCCAGTTTGACTCTGGGCCAGAGCTGTTAGTGTTCGATGGAAGAGCTGTACTGACGTCACAGGAGTTGATGGAAGAGCTGTGCTGACGTCACAGGAGTTGAGACAAGGTCTGTAGACTGAGGAGATCTGGGTGCATATCTTTTGTCTTAGCTGGCGTTTAAGAATAACAGGTTTTTGAAATTTTATTGGTTTTTACAATATTATTTACTTGCTCCTGGAAACAAGGAAGGTTGCTAACCTAAATATACCAATTGGAAAAAGTATATTTGAAGGAGTGACGTTTTATTGTTGAGCTGCAGTGATAACACTCAAGCTCTCTCATTGTGTAAAATTTTAGACATAGTCAAGGGAAACCCCATAGCCTGAAACCTGTGCTATTTTTAGTAAACAGTATGTTTATGAAGCAGATTAAGTAAGTCGTTTTACACACAAATCTGCATGTATCTACCTGCCGTGACCATAGCAATGACCATGTCTGATGAGCCAAATTTTAATGTCTAATTCCTGGTTTGCAAGATAGATTTCTTCGTTGTCTTAATGTGTTTTCTTACAGTTTGTTTGCAGTAATACTCGTCAAGAATGGTTCTGCAGGTTGTAGCAATTTTAGGCCTAACAGCTATTTTGGCCAATAAGAAGATGCCTTTGCAGGCAGTACATTGACAGACAGACCAGAAAAACTGATTAGAGGACCACAGAGCAACTACCAGAAAAAGCTAAAATCAAAGTATAAAGACAAGAGGGAAAAGCTTGTTCTGAACATTGCTGCATCACACCCCTCTTACCTAGTTTGCTATTTCTTCAGTCTCATAGTTAATATCATAGCTATGTAGAATTAGATCCCCCCCCCAAGCTCTAAATTGTGGGAGTCAGATACAGGGAAAGTGTTTACAACAGGCTAAAACTGTTCAGATGGAACCTGTTTCTCTAGTGGCTGAATTTCCTTAGTTACTGGCTGTATACAGAATACAAAGTTTGAGGGAAAAGACAAAAGGAGGAATTAGGAAAAAGTAGAGACTCATTCATTTGCCTCTCTTCTCATGGGCTGTTCTTTCTGCTGACTAATGAGCCTCCTCTTTGTGCAGTGTACAAGTCTCCGGAATATGAATCCCTTGGCTTTGAGCTTACTGTGGAGAGATTAGTTTCCATTGGCTATCCTCAGGAACTGCTCAGCTTTGCATATGACTCTACATTCCCTACCAGGTAAAATTTCAAAATAGCTTTGGATTAAAACCACTTCCCCTGTCCCAAAATGATGAATCCCAAACTTATCCCTGTCCCTGCAATAATAAATGCTAGTGTTGATTTTAAAATTAGCAGAACTTTCCATACATTAACTCAGTCATCTGCCACTGTTTCTTTTGGGTTCCCCCTCTTTTCTCTGCTTGTCTTCTCCCTCTTCTTCCCACCCCTTTCCCTTTTTTTTTTTCTCTCTCCCATCCTCTCTCAACAGTATATGTATCCCAGGCTGGACTCCTCCTGCTTCAGACCCCCAAGTACGTAGTGCTCAGCTCCCTGTGCTCTTGAGTAGAGCTGAGTCAGGAAGACCCACTGGTGGGCGAGAACGGGGTTGTTAAGCCTGAAGGATGAGCACAGGTGTCCTGGCTGCCCCAGCTTGGCTTCTGGAGGGCAGCTGTGTGTTCTGCTAATACATGTAACTTGGTGGGAAGAACCTTTTGCACTTTGCATTTCTGGATTTGGTAGGGAAGAGTTAAGATTATGAAGGACATTTGTTTGATTTACTATCACATGTGCCCCACGTGTAACATTGGATGCTGGGAAATACAAGCAGTTCAATGTCGGAAGACATTTAAGGACTGTTGTAGAAAGATAGCAGCTTCCTTAAGAGTCAGGGTAATTTATGCTTGTCTGATAGAGCCGTAACTCCAGAACAGTACATACATGGAATAAGCGTTATTAGTTGCAGTCAGAGCCCTCCCTGTCCCACCTTCCATCTGCCTCCACAAATGCTGGCATAGATCCCAGGGAGTCAAACTATAGTATGCAAGTGCACTACAGCTGAGCTCGGTCTCCAGCCCCGCAGTTTTCTAAAATGCATGTGCTTACTTAGCATACACGGTACAGAGCTTGAGTCAGATCATGCATGGTGATCACACAGGGTCTCCATGACGTTAACTGTCACTGTCTCCCTGTCATGTAGAGGACTTGTCTTTGACACACTCTATGGAAATCTTCTGAAAGTCGATGCCTATGGGAACCTCTTGGTTTGTGCACACGGATTTAACTTCATAAGAGGGTGAGTACAGAAAACCCTTAACCTCTTGAGAGAGAGTGGGGGCTAGGGGGAGATGTATGTCCACTTGCACGTGCCCCAGAAACGGTCCATCTTATTTTATTTATTATTATTGTGTGTATGTATGTGGAATGTGCACTGTGCCACAGTATGTATGCCAGGAGGTCAGAGGACAGCTTTTAGAAGTCAGTTCTTTCTTTTCACTGTGGCTTCCTTCCAGGGATGGAATTTATTCGTCAGGTTTGCTCAGTGAGTTCCTACGGTGGCCCTTGCTGCCTTGTTTTTTGAGATGGAGTCACGAGAGATTCGGACAGGTTGGCTAGGCTAGGTCAGTGAGCATTGCAGGTGTGTGCCTCTGTACCCTTTGTTTTAGAGCGTGGGTTCTTAGACTTGCTTCGGGTCCTTAGCTTACATGGCAAGCACCTGACAGTTTCACAGTCTCCGTAGCCCCTCTGATATTTGAATAGGTAAATGACATGCCATTGTCTGCACAGGGGAGTTAGTCTTCCTTTAATCATTGAGTCATCCCTTTACATAAGCATAGTTAAGGTATTAATAATTATATTTTGTTTCTGTTTTCTAATTATATAGCACCCCAAAAGCTAATTTTGATGCTTGCTAAAAAATGACACTTTAGACTTAGTTTTAGACTTAATTTCTAAGATATTGTTTGTTTGTTTTGTTTATTTATTTTTCGTAAGACAGTCTCTCAGGGGATTTCTGGCTGTTCTGTAACTCACTTTGTATACCAGGCTGGCTTCAAATTCACAGAGGCATTTGTCTCCCTAAGTGCTGGGATTAAAGGTGTGTGCCACTACTGCCCTGTTTATTTTTCCTTTTTAATACAGAAGAAATACACACATAAATGTCATTTGAAAACTTTGAACTTATATAGCAATTTAAGTAACTGAGATTTTTACTAACTAGTACATTTTAATCTTTGAGTAAATATTTTCAGACATTTGTATAATGAAAACATCTTAAAACACAGGGTTAAAAGTATAAGGTACCCTAACTACAAGGACGTACAGGGCACAGTAATGCTTGCCTATAGTGCCAGACTACTCTGAAAGCTAAGGTAAGAGGGTCTTGAATTCAGGAGTTCTTTGCCAGTGCCTGGGGAATATAATGAGACCCATTTCAGAAATTCAGAAATCAGAAAAGATGGGGAAAGAGGCTCTGTGTGGTGGTGTATGCTTTTAATGTCAGCACTGTGAGACAGAGGCAGGCAGAGATCTCAGTATGTTCAAGGCCAGCGTACTCTTCATAGTGAATTCCAGGACAGCCAAGGCTACGTAGAGAGACCCTTCCTCAAATAAATAAATAAATAAATAAATAAATAAATAAATAAATAAATATTTAAAGACAGACAAGATGGGATGTAGAAGACTGTTGAGCAGTAGACAGTCACTCAGATGTAAGGGTCTCATCCACAGCACTGTAAAAGGAAGGAGGGAGGGAGGGAGAGAGGGGATAAGGAGAGGAAAGATATATAACTTACATTTTTATAATATCTTCACTATCTTTGCTAATTTGGAAGTTTCCTCTCTAGTAAGCAGTAAATATAAGTTATAAATATGTAAGTATCTACTTTTTGTGTGTGTGAAACAGTCTAAGAGTTTTTTGTTTTGTTTTGTTTTGTTTTGTTTTTAAAAAACACAGTTCCGTGATTAAGAGCACTGACTGCACTTGCATAGGACCTGGGTTCTGCTTCTGGCCCCCACATGGTGGCTCACAACCATCTATAACTCCAGTTCCAGGCAATCTGCTGCCCTCCTGGCCTTCACAGGCATCCAGCATGCACACAATGCATATACACACATACATGCAGACAGAACAGCACATACATAGTAATCTAAAAAACTAAAGAAAAATAAAAAAATAGAGGTTGACACTGTATTTGGGTCATAACTACAACTTAAAACATTTTATGCTTTCGTATAATTTTCCTGAATTATTTATTCTTTATGGGAAAGTGCTAAAGTCATCACAGTTACATTGGAATAATTGAAGAAGTGGTTTTGGCAACACTTTTTGTTGTAATAGGCATAAACTAACTGAAAATGTGTCAGAACATCCTTTAGGTCTGAGGTCACAGCAGTGTCCCACTTAGAACTGAAGCACGTTTCACAGTGCTGTTGAACAAGCCTTATTGCATAACACGCCTCAGCGATGTCTCAGACGGACACTGTACAAATGAAGTGAAGTGAGTATCACTTTGACCTCTCTGAGCAGGCTAGGAAGCTCATCATGTCCAAGATACTGTCACTGTTACAAGGAGCCCAATGTAAATGAACCAGGGTTCTGTTTGTGTCTGAGAAGGGATTGCATTGTTCTGGCTATTAGTTGAAGAGAAGGCAGAGGAAAAAAAGTGAGGAGAAGCAGTTCAGTAAATTCATCTTACAACCAAACTTAGAATTCAACATGCATGGGCCTAAGCTGGGGGCAGTGGTCCACTTCTGTAGTCCTGGCAGGAATCCATAAGGAGTTCAACTTACCTTTGACTACATAGTCCAGTCAGGACTATATAAGACTTTATATCAAGCAAATAACAGAAAAGATCTATCAACCTGCTATACATAAAGTTTCTATACATAAAGTTTTATAAAGTAGCTTCTTTGGAAATACTTTTGAATAAGTCATTTGTGAGTAAATATAGATTCATTTAAGCTTAGTGCAAAAGGAAAAGATCTTAGGGAGGAAGTGAACATGGCGGGAAACAGTTTTTAAGATGCAGTGGTGATGAGATGAAAAGGAGGTCAGCGTCCATCTGGCTTTGTCACACCTTGTTAGCCTGGGGCTGTGGGTCACAAAAGTTACCAATGTTCCTTCCAACTCCAAAGATAGTTTCTTCTGTTCTGATGCATTGTCTTTCCCTGACCCAGGATGTAATCACTCCCGAATTTGTCAGAGGTGTGATGGCTAAAGCAGCTGCACCAGCGTTGTCTAAAGCCGGCTGTCACTCACTGCCTCTGCCTGGAGGGACGGCCTGTTAGTGTTGCTCTCTTCTGCCTGAAAGCCAGAGAGATGGCTTTCCACTTAGTCTCTATTTATTAGAAACTTTGTTTCATACGGATGATGAAAAGGGTTGCTAACCAAGAAACTATTATGATTTTATAGTCCTGACTCGAGTCCATACCATTTCAAGTTAACTAACTTAAATAGGAATTTTTCCAACTTAGACTTCCGTGTAAGCTTTCTATTTGTTTTCTTTGTCTTTGTGGGGATGTGTGTGTGCAGGTCAGTGGTGAGTGGCAAGTGTGTTCCTCAGTCACTCTCCACCTTATTTGTGAGATACTGTCCTTGGGACTCAGTGCTTTGGCTTGAGTTCTACTCCACTGTCTGCACCCTTCTCCCCCATTGCAAGGGTTACAGGCACACACTGCAGTGCTTGGCATTCACGTGGGTATTGGGATTCTAAACAGAAGTGCCTGGTGTTTGCATGGCAAGCACTTTGCTGATATGACCTGGGCCTTGCAAATTAAGTAGGTCAAGTCAGAAGTTGGTCTGCTTTCAATAAAGAGGAACAGAGAAAAATACAGCTCAGATGGGTAAGGAAGGCTTGTTCTTTGTTCCACACGCCATCCAGGAGCAGAAGTGTCCACTTAGGTGTTGCAGCAGAAGCCACCACACCAGCACTGCAGGAATCCTTTCTCCATTGTTCTTGCCTCTCTTCACAGTCGCTTCCTTCTGCTTTAGACTTATCTTAAAATTTTATTTACTTATTTGTTTTGAGGCAGGGTTTCACTGTGTCACCCTAGCTGGCCTGGCTGTCAGTGCTGGGACTACAGGGGTGAGCATCTGTTCATGGGCTGTTTCCTTAAACCGTTAAAGCTGAGTAGTTCCCCTTTAGTCTTAAAGTTCCCCACAGCCTTTGTGTAGAGGTCAGGTTGTGTGTTCCTCAGTTACCTCCCTAGCGCACTGAGAGCCCTGGTGTCATTTATAAGGAGGCTGTTGAAGGGTTCCCTCGAGCCTGCTCACAGCTGCTGGGATTTAATCTGTGAGCTCTGTCTTTCACAGAACCATCAATGCATTTAATAAAACAGCGAATAGTGACTGTTTTCTACAGTTGTTAACTTTTCGTATATCAATTAATTTTTTTACATTTTCTTACAGACCAGAAACTAGAGAGCAGTATCCAAATAAATTTATCCAACGAGATGACACTGAACGGTTTTACATTCTGAACACACTATTCAATCTTCCAGGTAGACCACCTCTGCTTACTATGCATGCTGTCCCTTCGTCCCAGGACCACTGTTCAAGGATGCTAATTAAATCAGCTTGGTGATTTTACTTACAGCTTATTAATATCTTTCTTCATTTTCAGAGACCTACCTGTTGGCCTGCCTAGTAGATTTTTTTACTAATTGTCCCAGATATACCAGGTATGTTTATACTACAATTTCCTTTATCCAGTTGATTTTTAAATTAATGTACAGGGTTTTAGAGAACTGGCCATTGTAGGTCTTTTCTGCTTTTCTAAAGTGAATTTAGTGCTAGTGAGAGATGCCACATTGCCAGCCTGAGAGATGGACAGCACCAGCAGCTCCATGCAGGCTCTCACCTCCCACACGGCCCCTCTCCTTGCCAGTGTGCTGCAGCCATGTTTGGAAGGGACCACTTGTGACTGGGATTGAAGACGGCAGCAGAGGTGCTAATTGTGACAACTGAGTGGGAGGTTTGTGTGATGCTTATCTGTCCAAGCAGAGTTACACTAAAACCCCCCGACTCATTTCACAGCAGCTACCCAGAAGCCATCCAGGGATGGTCATTTAGTTTCATTCTCAGGCCCAGCAAGATCTCACCAAGGAATAAATATTGCTTATTTTCCCTAAAGCAAAATTTTGCCTAAGTCTTGCACAGGTTAGCCTTTCCTTTTGGGGGAGCTGTGTAGCCATTGCTTGATGTGAAACAGCCTTCTGTATTAGAGTCTGCTAAGTTTGTGTCTAAGGCCTTGCCCACTTCAGGGCAGTTTGCTGGAAAATGGAATCCAGATAGAAATGAACAGTGTCTTTGTACCTAGGGACAATGACAGAAAGGTCAGGGAGAGAGAAACTACGTTCTAAATGTTTGCTCAGTGAGAGCCTGTTTCTAAAAATGATGAATTTGGTATTTTGGGACCTTGGCCTTTTAATTCCATCCTGTAAATTATCCTGTCTCGTTGTGTTTGCACACAGTTATTATATTCCAAATATCAATATTCTGGCCATTTTAATGCTCAGATGCATTTCGACTAGGGAGCGGTTCCTAGCTAACCACAACCTGTACCACGCTGTGATGGGGAGCCTTTGGGTTCCTTGGTCATTTCATTCACTGTGTATCATGTTCTTTTCATCTTTCTGTAGTTGTGACACAGGATTTAAAGATGGGGATCTCTTCATGTCCTACCGGAGTATGTTCCAGGACGTCAGAGACGCAGTAGACTGGGTCCATTACAAGGTACTTAGCTGCTGCTCTTCCTGCCTTCTCTCCAGCCAGCGCTCGTCTGTGCTCTGATGGTAATTTTGCAAGTAGAGCAGAATGCTGCTGCCTTTTAAAGGAAAGTGGAGCGGGGCTGGACAGACGGCTCAGAGGTCAAGAGCACTGGCTGCTCTTGCAGAGGACCCTAACTCAGTTCCTAGTGCACAGACAGCAGCTCACAACCATCTGTAACTCCAGTGCCAGGGACTCTGATGCTCTCTTCTGGTCTCTCTAGGCACCAGGCACTCATGTGGTACAGATATGCATGCAGGCAAAACATTTACTCATATACATTAACAGAAAAACAAATCCTCTTAAAATTTTTTTTTCTACTTTTAAAAAGAGATTAAGAGAAATTTGCTTCCTATGTTTATTCTTGTCTGGCCATACTGACAGTGTTCCTCAGTCTTGAGGCTCAGCGTTTAAATTCTGTTGTTTGCATTTCTTTTTGTTTTGGTTTGGTTTTTTGGTTTTTCGAGACAGGGTTTTTCTCTTTATAGCCCTGGCTGTCCTGGAACTCACTCTGTAGACCAGGCTGGCCTCGAACTCAGAAATCCACCTGCCTCTGCCTCCCAAGCGCTGGGATTTAAGGCATGCGCCATCACTGCCTGGCTGTTGTTTGCATTTCTGAAAAATATTTAGAAGAATTTTAGCATATGAGATTACATATTTTGTGGATGGTAGTCCATTTAAATTTTGTTCAAATAACTCCCACTAGTTAGTATTAGATTTATTTTTAGTATAAACTGTTTAATAAAATATGAAAAGTTTTAATTTTCTATTTAAAATGTGAATAATATTATATTTGAAGTCTTTTTTTTTTTCTAACATTTTTCATTTTGGTAAACAGAATATTTGTTTGATAGTAAGCACAAGTTTTCTAGTGAAAGTTAAAAATGGATTTATAGGTCAGGTGTGGTGGTGTACTCCATAGTCCCAGACACGGTCCAGGTTCAAGGCTAGCCTGTGTTACAAAGTAAAGCTTTGTCTCAGACAAACAATCTTGACTTGTGAGGGGGACATTATGTCCTAAACCTGAAGTCTTAGTACTTGAGGGCTGAAGCAGGAAGATGGGTCCAAGGCCAGCCGGGGCTCTAGAGCAAGAACTTGAAAATAAAAAGGAAGCTTCCCCCCTGTTTTTATTCTTAGTTCTTTTTCTTTCTTCTAGGGCTCTCTTAAGGAAAAGACAGTTGAAAATCTTGAGAAGTATGTAGTCAAAGATGTAAGTATTGAAGAAGAAACTAAGTTTGCATGGTGGGTTTTTTTTTTTTTTTTTGCCTTGTAAAGACATGAAGGTCGAGCCTGTTTATCATGATACAGACAAGGAAAGGCACTTGCAGCATAGTCACAAAACATGTCTGCCGGTGTGTAGTTTAACTAGTTTTCCCTGTTTTCTAAGAAACAGGAAGACTCAGTATTTTTTGTTTTAGCTCTAATTATTGCAGCTGGAGGGTACTGTGTGACGTCACCATGCAGTGATTGATGCCTTATCCTATGTCATCTTCATCAACTATGAGATGCTACTGTTACTTTTTATAGATACAGACACTTCGGGATAAAAAAAAAATGCTTAAATGTCATGTGGAAAGTCACACAGTTGGAAGGTCACACAGTTGGAAGGTCAGTTGTCGGCCAGGCTAAGACTTAAAGACCCAAATCTTAAGGGCTGCAGATGACCCACTAAAAATGTGCACGGGTCAGACTGATTTTAGGGTCTTTACTCTGTTAGCAAAGAATAGTGAGCACAGCTTTAAGACGCATTAGCGACCAGTGGGTATACATAAATACCTATATTTTTATAGTTATGATACAGTGTTAATGTTACTATCAAAGGAATGTATGTGGAACACATACTAAGCATATATGTGTACGTGTGTGTAATCACAAGTTTTCTGTGAGGCTAAGTTGTTTAAAACATGAAGTCATGGGCTGGTTGTGTAGCAGTGACAGAGCACTTGGAAGTGTGTGCAAGGTCTTGGGTATGAGCTCCAGGACTGAGTTTTTTTGTTAGATTTTACATGGGATAGAGACAGAGCTCAGTGGTTAAGAACATTCGTTGTTCTTTCAGAAGACCTGAGTTCAAATCCTAGCACCCATATCAGGTGGCTCACAACTGCCTGTAATTCCAGCTCCAGGCAGACCTGATGCCTTCCCCTGCACCTCCACGCATGTGTACACACACACATACACACACACACACACACACCCCAAATACATTGATAATTAAAAATAAATTAAGAAGAAAAGACATTTATCACATACAGAATCCTAGGATATAGTAACTTACCTTTCCATAAAGTAAAGACAATGCAGTAACAATGTCTCCGGGTTTGTCACTACCCCTTCCCTCCTGTCAAACAGCTACACCCCTTTTCCCTAATTGCTTCACGAAAGACCACTGAGCAGTTGGACCCACTGTGCAAAGGAGCGTTCTTATGAAAAGTGCATTTCGTTTCTAGGTGCACCAGCTGTTAGAATTCCCTTAATTTTTTTTTTCAGTTAAGTGTGGATATTCTAGGTAGCACCTGTACCTTTCGTTATATTTTGCAGTTTTTATGAAGCCACAGTGTATTCAGTAGCATCATATTTAGTAATCTTCATATAGAATTTTGGTACAGTTTGAAAATCAACTTCTGAACTTCAGTATACTTACATCCCATACTTTAGGAATAACCAAGTAATTTAAACTCTTTTCTGAGGCAGACTTGAAGATGGTAAAGATCTCTTATTAATGGCCGTATACTGATTTGTGGAAAGTATATACTATGTATGTTAATACTGTTAAAACTCAGTAATGTGGGTTTTTAAATGCAAATTTCTGAAATCAACCAACTAATCCTCAAAAAGCCTGTCACCTCTTCCTGTTTGGGCAGAGTTACAGTCTGTGACAGCCAGCACTGACATTTCTTGTCACCACTTCACCATTTCAGGGCAAGCTGCCGTTGCTTCTGAGCCGAATGAAGGAAGTAGGGAAAGTGTTTCTTGCCACTAACAGTGACTATAAATACACAGATGTGAGTACTTAATGTCTGTATCTGCTTATGCAGGGAAGGGGGTTGACCCAGAGGACTGTGACGACACTGAGGAGGGCATATAAGTGCATAGCACACAGGACATGCTGGAGTTACTGCAGTTTTCCCTAAACATCCGTTTTTTCACTATTTCAGAGGCTATTTAAAAGTTTAAATTTGGGAAGTTATTTAAAGGGTTTATGCTGCTATAATGGCTTCTCTACCCATTAAGAGCATTATTTATCTATATCTGAGAGAGCATCCCCTTTCTTTTACATCCCCTTACTGTTAGAAATACCATAATGAAAGGTGATATAACAGTCTTTTGAATCTTAGAAATCAAAATTTACTACTTCTTGTGTTTAAATTTTTAAAAATCATGATTAAAGGATACAGAAGGGGGTACAAACCACACAAAGTCCAAATTTAAACACCTTACTTTGCTTATGCAATTATAGGTTAACAGTCCTAGCAGGAGGTTCTGCCCTGCCCCAGTGCACTGCTATAAAGTTGCCGTGCACCAGCTCCTGTGAGTCACTGCTTTTCTCTGAACCCTTCAGTCTTTCTTATCTCCAAGTGACTTCAGGAGAGCTGCGTGGGGGCAGGTGGGTGAATGTGTGCAGAAGCACATACAAGTCTGTATCCTTCCTGAGAAGCCAGCTGCCCTTTGCCTGACAAAGCAGTAGTTTTTAACTTCCTCTGCCATGATTTCATAAGCTATGGAGAAATTACAAATGTGATTAATCTCGATTTTAGAAAGCTTGTGTATGTCTTCAGCAGAAGTCATATGTGCACCTTTCTTTTTCCCCAGAAAATCATGACTTACCTGTTTGATTTCCCACATGGCCCCAAGGTATTATAGTAATTTAATATATGTCATTTTTAAATTAATTTTTATGCCTTATGTTAACTAGTAATGAATACATGTAATCATTTTAGAACACCAAAGGGAAACAATGGCCAAGATCCTCCTAGCTTTAGAAGGCCTAGTGTTTAATCAGCGTTAAAAGAAGTAGTCCAGGGCTAACCGAATTTAAAATCTCTGGTAATCTAAATATTTATTAGATAGAAATAAAATGAATATTTATGTGGTCTGTAGAGAATAGGATCAAAATAAGTTTTTAAGCAGAATCACTTGTGTTGTGAGGGGTCATACATTGAGGGTGATATTAGTTTAACAGAAACATAATGTTAATGTGAATATTCTTGACAGTTTCTAGATCAGTTACTGCTGAGTGTTATGCCAAGAAAGCAGTTGACTTTGGTATTTAAGTCTTTCTGTAGTGTAACTTGCTCAGATTTAAAGAACAGATTGCAGCTTAGTCACACACTTAAGAATCTGAATCCTAGACTTCCACGAGTAAGCTTCAGCAAATACCAAAACTACATTGTGTAGTACCTTCAGGTTGGCTTGCAAAGGTTAGCACCATAGTTCCATCTCAGAAGGCAGAGTGTTAGTCGCCATAATGCCATCTGTGGAATGAGCTGAGGCCGGTGTCAGCCTAGAGCCATCGTTCTAAGGACAAATAGAATCTCCCCAGTTTGTCCCTTGCATTGTAGCTTGCAACTGCCTAGCTTTTCTCATACTTTATGTTTCAAATACTGTGGAATAAGTTACTATTCTTCAGAGAATAAACTGTGGAAATTACCAAAGCTATTTACTACTCACACCTGTCAGCTTCCAGAAAACTTATTTTAGAATTCCTTGTCTTTGATGAGATTAAGTATGAGGGGCAGTGATGTGGCTTTTGCTGATTCTGTTCCTCCAGCCTGGGAGCTCCCATCGGCCATGGCAGTCCTACTTTGATCTGATTTTGGTGGATGCCCGGAAACCACTCTTTTTTGGAGAAGGCACAGTACTGCGTCAGGTGGACACTGTAAGTCAAGAAGGCAGTGCGTTCTGGGACATGATCCTGGATGTTCACCTTCCCACTGCCCTCTTTTAACTTAATGGCCATAATTTCTCTTTTGAAGTTGGGAGTTTTGATTTTACCTGACCTAGCCCAACAGCGCTTCTTAAGAAGAATGCGTGCTTGGCTCAGGTAGCAGCATGGGTAGAGATTGTGATCAGATGCCACAAGATTTCAGTCTTTATTCTCTCTACCCAGAAAACTGGAAAACTGAAAATCGGCACCTACACAGGCCCCCTGCAGCACGGCATTGTCTACTCGGGAGGTGAGCGGACTGCCCCCTCCTGCTCGGGCACATTTGCACACTGAGCCTTGGCTTTACTGAGGCGCTCAGTAAAACTTCGCTGTGAAAAGTCTGAGCGAAGTCTTACTGAGCACAGTACCATGTAACAGTTCTTCAGGACCAGAAATGTCACCTCCAAGTCATCTGCCAGTGAAAGCCAAGAGGATTAAGTTTTATTGTCACTGAAAAGATCCTTCTGTCCTCTGTTGAGGCTTTGTCTCAATGTTTTGAAACCATTTTGGGGTATTTTTTCTTAAAAGACTTTCAAGAAGCCCATGTAGCTGTATTTAATGTCAAAAGTCAGAAGCAGTTGAACAGAGCCTACTTAATGAAAACTGGTCATGGCACCTCTGGTGGCTCTGAAAACTGTCCATAGGCATCACACCACTGGGCTCTGTCTCCAGCCCAGCTCTGGGGTGCTGACACTGTCTTCCTGGAATTCTCACACAGTAGAGCTTCACCTTTGTCTTTAAGAAAGGCTCCTCTTTCCCATAATTATAAATTTCTTTAGCATGGCTGTGGTGTTTTGAATGCCTTCGTTACTATAGAAACGTTCCTCATTTACTCCTTTCAGGTTCATCTGATACAATCTGTGACCTGTTAGGAGCTAAGGGCAAAGACATTTTGTATATTGGAGATCACATTTTTGGAGACATTCTGAAGTCAAAGAAACGGCAAGGGTGGAGAACTTTCTTGGTGATTCCTGAGCTTGCACAGGAGCTCCACGTCTGGACTGACAAGAGTTGTAAGGATTGTCCCTCTTAGTTCAAACCTTCGCCACAACGTCTGTCCCTTATGTGACAGCTCGGACTTGATTCTCTTAGAGAAACCATTACTCAGTCATTTCACACAACTCTGGAGTATATGCGCAAGTGTGTGTGTGTGTGTGTATGTGTGTGTGTGTGTGTGTGTGTGTGTATGGCTCAGATTTTCAAAGCCCTTTGAGGTAGTATAGAAAGTTTCTGTCCTGGGATGAGTTATAGTAACAGTTTGTAAACTAGGACCTCCACTTCCGTCTGTAGCCCAGGCTTCTCCAACCATAGCCCGCGCTCTCCATCTTCCTAACACTCTGTGATTCTGGGGCAGCAATGGCTCTGAATGCTAACAACCTGGTATTTGTGAAGACAGAGGCCAACTTATACTCTTAAGTTGAGCCACCCAGTGTGTATTATGTGGTACCCGCCCTTAAGTTGGGCTACAGGTGGCTGCATAAAGGCATCTGATAGGCGGGTTCTCCATCTAGTCCTAGTGCACCTCTCACTGTGGTAAGAGTTACCAGCTCTCCCAGCATGGCCTATGTTGATGAGAACTCTGGCTCCTCTACTCAGAATCTGCATGCACCTTGGGCCTTACTCTCCCATATATGAAAATGGAAGGGAGTATCTGCTTCCAAGTTGGCCTCAACTGAGATAGTGTAATATAAAGAAAAGAGAGACGATGGTCTGTGACAGAGCACAATAGGAAAGCTCTTCTTGACTGTAAAGATGGTAGAAGTTCAATAGATAGATTAAGGTGTGATTCCCTTGGGAGCATGTGGTTGATGCTGCCCATACATTTTACACTTCCTGCCCGTGAAGTGCAAAAGTCCAGTTGAGCAATGACTCTAGACAAGACACCTGATTCTCAGTCCTTTGCTCCAGAGTGTCGGGGTTTAGTGGGTAAAGGTGCTCACTGCTGAGCTCGACCGGGGCTCAGTCTCCAGAATCCACATGGTGAGAACCAACCGACCGACCGACATCCACACACTGCCCCCCGACTTCACACATGCCGTGGCATGTGCAAGCCCATACACATCCTCACACAACTTTTTTTTTTAAAGTCAAACTATCACTTTGGTGTCTGCATCCAAGGGGTTAAAAGTTGATCATTTGGAAGCCCAGAATGAACACACAGATGGGGTTGTAGGCTGTGGCTGTAAGTAAGAAAAGGCAGTTGAAAAGGAGACTGTGGTGTTCGTTGGCAGAGCCCACGCGGGGTGAAGGAGGCACAGGGGATTTATATATGACATCTATATATCATTGTCCAGGCTATACTTTTTGTCATATCTGAAATTTCAGTAGTTTGAACATCATTTAAAAGCCATCATTTACAAGGTACTTTTGCTTGATTTGTGTAAAACATTTTCTTTTCCTTTCCAAAATTTAACTAGCACTTTTTGAAGAACTTCAAAGCTTGGATATTTTCTTGGCCGAACTCTACAAGTAAGTTTCCCAGATCCACAACTTAATGCTCCAAAATCTACCTACTTCTCCAAGAGTTGACACAGGAGTAAGGTGTGTTCTCTTAGAGGTCTTCACCATGGTTTCCTCTTGTCCCCAGGCACCTGGACAGCAGCAGCAATGAGCGCCCAGACATCAGTTCCATCCAGAGACGGATTAAGGTATGCAGATGAGATTTGGGAAAAAACATGGGAAGTCAATTGTCTGAGACATTTTCATGTTTGATTATTCAGGGACTTGTAGCCATCAAATAGTTGCATAAGCTGAGGACTTTTTTTTTTAGAAAGTAACTCATGACATGGACATGTGCTATGGGATGATGGGAAGCCTGTTTCGTAGTGGTTCCCGGCAGACACTCTTTGCCAGCCAGGTGATGCGCTATGCTGATCTGTATGCGGCCTCGTTCATCAACCTGCTGTACTACCCATTCAGCTACCTCTTCAGAGCTGCCCATGTCCTGGTGAGTGACGTTATTTTTGACAGTTAAGATGTACCATAGAGGGGCTGGAGAGATGGCCCAGTGGTGAAGAGCATTGGCTGTTCTTCCAGAGGTCCTGAGTTCAGTTCCCAGCAACTACAATGGTGGCTGACAACTGTCTATAATGGTATTTGATGCCCTCTTCTGTCATACATGCAAATATACATCTGTATAGAGCACTCATACGTATGAAGATGTGCCATAGAGTTCCATCTGCAGCTAGCTTTGTGGAATAGCACGGGAGACAGTGTGTGTGGAAGTCATGAATGGCTTATGTGATTAGTAAGGAAATGATACACCACGGCAGGCACTTACTGACTTAACACTACCTTCTGAAGTTCAACTGAACAGTGAAGACTTCCTCTTTTGAGTAGGGTGTGGAAGACTCCTTTGTTAGTGCTAATTGAAGTATTGAAATAAATGTTTTTATATGTATGTCCTGATACTGCTGTTGCAGGACTGGTGAGGGAAGGATGAAAGTAGAGTGTAAGGTTTTCTATTGCTGATGTTCATGCTGTGGGAGTGAGCTGCCGCTTAGGTGTTTGTGCTTGGGAACCGAAAGTGGTTTCCTTTGCTCCTCCTGCAGCCTGAGTGTTTGCTCCGTTCTAGATGCCGCATGAGTCAACGGTGGAGCATACACACGTGGACATCAACGAGATGGAGTCTCCTCTCGCCACCCGCAACCGCACGTCAGTGGATTTCAAAGACACTGACTATAAGCGACACCAGCTTACAAGATCCATTAGTGAGATCAAGCCCCCCAACCTCTTTCCACTGGCTCCTCAGGAGATTACACACTGCCATGATGAAGATGATGATGAAGAGGAGGAAGAGGAAGAATAAGAAGGCAGACTAAAAACCCCGAGTACCCATCAAGTCTGACGGACTCATGGGTCAAGGGGTGGCCTTGTTTGGATTCTGTTAGGGACGGTGGGAGGACTCCATCAGAAGTCCTGGAAAGTTTGGAAAGTTTCTGAAGGCTTTAAATAATTCTAATCATAGCTACTTCAGTTTTGTGTATCTGTTCTCTGCAGATGGTTTGAAACTGTATAGGAAGAACAGGTAACGTCAGGTGGAGCGCACGCAGACAGCACCATGTGGCTTGTGATGGTTTTCTGTGTCTGTCGTCGTCAGCGTGTCATCTCGCTGCAGGAAGGTAGTAAAGGGATTCAGAGGAGAGCCACAGACGTTGTGTACAGACTGTACCATTGCTCAAAGCCACACTTGTCAGTGCATTACAGTGCCGTTCATCAGTGGAGGAACACACGCTTTCATTATCGAGTGTAGTCAGCCCTCTGTTGAGGTCAAGTTTCCTTCCGTTAGCTTTTGGGTTTCCTCGGTGGCTGTGGCAAGGCTGCTGCTGTGCTGGCCGGTGCCTTTGTGGGTTTCCTTGCTATAGGGTGATTCTAGAGTGTGGGGATTTGAATTTGACACAAAAGTCCTTCTCCTTGCTACATTTTTTAAAGTTGGTAGCACAAATGCTTTTTTGTTATATAGAAATAGTCCTTTTGGGGAATGTAGCTGAAGAGTACAGAGGAGCAAGTTCCTAGAACAGCAGCCACTGTTGCAGCTAGAGCTGCCTTTAGCACCATGGCCTGCAGGAGCATCCTTCTCCCAGCCAGAGGCGGGCAGGCTCTACAGCAGAAGGTGCAGACAGAGTCAGTTAGTTCACCCGACTGTGGGGATGACTTCTTGCTCTGAGTAAAGCCAGAGCCTGTAAGCACAAAGGCTGTGGCTGCTCTGCAGCGCAGGGCTGTCCAGTGCAGGGCTGTCCAGTGCAGGGCTGTCCAGTGCAGGGCTGTCCGGCACTTGGACTAGTTCACAGCTTCTTGCTTTAACTTTCAGTTATTTTCTTCCATTCTTGGTCCTGGTCACTAGGGTACTGGCTGCTCTAGGACTCGGTAAAGTGTATGTCTTAATGCTGACCTTGGCGCTCGTGTAGTAGAACTGTCAGCCGGCATAGCCATTGCTCTTCAAATGGCTTTAGGGTTGGTGTTCTTTTAAGGGAAATGCATTTTCAAAATTGCTAACTATATCTGTATCACTTTTAGTTTAAAAAAAATGCTTATATGTACAGTGTTTCATAGGTATAAAGATTTTTTTCACTGAGTTTTTAGGCATTTTTTAAAAAAAGACAAAGTTTCTTTATGTAGCCCTGGCTGTCCTGGGACATGTTCAGTATGTAGATCAGGCTGGCCTTGAACTCACAGAGATGTGCCTACCTCTGCCCCCCAAGTGCTGGGATTAAAGGCATGCGCCACCATGGCTGGCTTGTTTTACAGTAATCATTTGAAAGGTATGGAGCATAGCTCAACAGCTCGGCCAAGGCCTGCAGCTGCACAGCTTCCCCCACTTTAGAGTAAGGCGTCCCGCGTACCATGTGTTCTGACTGGGATCTCTGGAACATAGGCGAGGACAATTAGTTGTCATCTCTGTTTTTTAAAATTTAGAGACTATCCTAGCCACCCTAGTTACTAATCATACCCATTTAAATTGACATTGAGAGCGTTTCCTACTTTGACAGTGTTAAGCTTTCTGAAGCTCACATTGCCTCTGCGTGGCATGTGACAACTGCAGTGTCACCTTGCATTAGTGCAGTCCGTAGAGCAGAGGTGGACATCACTCCACTTGCTTTCTGTGTTTTATTGTACTGTGTGGATACAACAGTTTGACTGGTGAGATGGCACTGTCGGCCGGCTGGGACAGAGAGTGAGCACTTCAAGTGGCTGTGAAGAGCACATAGCAGGAAGAACTCCTGTTGAGTCAGTTTTCTTCCGTCACCAGAAGGACCTGCTAACGAGCTAGGGCTCTGTGAGAGACCAGCTGGTGACCTCGCGCACGCCCCCGTGTGCTGGGTGGTCTGTCCAGGGCAGGTGACCGAGCAGCTGTGACTGGACATTTCAGACTGCAAAACATGAATTGTCTGTCGTCAGGAAACTTCTCCACTGTGTTCTTAAGTCTGAATGATTTAGAGGACAGAAATGGCAGCCCTTCTGTCACTCTTGGGAATCTTTCTTAGGGATTCTGAAAACACTCCTCAGTTTCCAGCCTTTGTAGAACATCAGAATTCAAGAAACCTTTCTTCAATGCTAGACTGAGCTCCCAAGACTGGAGTGTGTGGCATTAGGGACCCCGGTGTTCCCAGCCCCACTGGGTCTAACAGCCACGGAGGCACTCTAGGAGAACATTGAGTGTCTCAGAAACATCTGAGGCAGAGAAAATTCAGTGTTTATTTTATACCCAAGATTTTCTTTTACCAGTAAGCACAGATCTGTAGAGCTCTGTGGAGTAAGCTAGCCCCCTTCAAGTTGTTCTTTAAATTTTGTTTAAAATAGAATCTGAGCTACAAATCTTTTAAGTCACACTGTCTATGTGCAGTTACATTTCACATTTAAAAGTAGCTTGTCCCTGTTTAGATATTTATAAATCAGACTTGTTTGTTTAACAACTTTAAAATCCTGCAGTTTTTCCAAGGCTTCTTGGGCACTTTTAAATCCTCTGCTTATTCACCACAAATAGCCTGAGATACACAACTGCATATTACGTCTGTATTAGGACAGGAACTTCACTCACATTCCATGCTACGGAAACTATTTAACCTCTTTCTGACGGTGGGAAAACGGGAACTATGATCAGCCTCCTTCCCCATGTGGTTTGAGAGTTAGGCCCTCCATACTTAGTTTCTCATGGCATTCTTTCTTGGTGACTAGAATTAGCTTCTCTTACAGTTTTTCCTCAGAGGGAATGATTTCTAGTCATACGCTTGGGATGACTGAGTCTGGAATCCTTACCAAAGATGAAACAGTAGCACGCACTGTAGTAAGACACATAGAGGAGTCATCTACACACGTGCGGCAGCCAAAAAACAGAGCCAATGATTGCAGACCCGCATTGCCTGCCACACACCTCTGCTAACAGGGACACAGCACTTAACCGTCCCACTGCTGTCCAGAAATAGCAGAAAGCAGATCTAGAAGAATATTCATGTACAAGACACACAGCTTTTCTCCTTGTCGCTTTCCCCTGCTTCTCGACCTATGGTGACAACAGTGTGATGAAGATGTCTGACAAAACAGTAATTGCAAGAAATGAAATGTTGCCATGTGCCATACCAGCATGTCAGTCAACAAGAGACCATGCATACTATGGTGGCCCCATAAGGTTATGTTGTCTGCTGATGCACCTGTGAGTACGCATGTCATGCTGCTCCCGTGAGGTCGCCTCATGACACATTTTTCAGCACACATTCTGTGAAATCATGTGATGCATGAGTGTACACAGTCCCCTAAGCTCCTCTTAGAGCCAAATCATGAAACTACACCCGACTCAACTCCAAACACTCATCTCAGACTTGGATACCACATGTCTAAGTGATCGGTATTTTCCAACTAAATAAAGTTTCCAGTTTTGAGCCTGGCCACTTGAGGTTTCTTCCCATGTGGTCAGTACCCAGACTCCATCTTGTCGCTAGAGTAAGAGCAGGGAGCTGTCTGACACTCAGCTCTTCCCAGGGACTTTAGGTGAGGCCCGGTACTGTACACATTGTCTCCATGGAGATAGCAACTATCCTTCAAGCCTCAAGTTCAGAGAGTTCACAACCAAACCTTCGCAGTGTTGACAGGTTTGCTAAATGGCCATTCCTTATTGAAAGGAGTTGTTGGCTTTTCCAGGGAGAGGGGGCTTCAAGACAGGGTTTCTCTGTGTAGCCCTGGCTGTCCTGGAACTCACTCTGTAGACCAGGCTGGCCTTGAACTCAGAAATCCACCTGCCTCTGCCTCCCAAGTGCTGGGATTAAAGGCGTGCGCCACCACCGCCCCGCATAAGACAGGGTTTTTCTATGTAACAAGCCCTGGCTGTTCTGGATTCACTTTGTAAATCAGGCTGACCTTGAACTTACAGATCCATCTGTCTGAGATGTTCTGAGAGTTAACCTTGGGTTTGAGTGTATGTAATTTAAGCATGTGATTGCCAAAGTCTGACATAGAAATGGGCTCAGTCCTGCTTGTGTCCTGTGCTTTCAGGACCTCAGAGCCACTAACACCAGCAGGAAGTACTTCACCACAGCCCAGCATTTATTCCCCTTCAGGTCATCTGCCAGGACAAAAAATGGCATGTCTAACTTAAGACAAGAGCCATACAACTGATTCCTTTATCCTAGGACTTATAGGAACGTTCATACCTGGAAGTTAGGAGCACAGATACAAGGCCCTCAGCAGGAAAAATCACATAGCAAAAGAGTAATTAGCAATGTAATTCAACTTTTTGGACTTTAATGAGGGATATGTCATTAGATTGCACTGCCTTCAAGAAATGTACACTAGGAAGGCGTGTAGCTCAGTGGTAGAATGCTTGCCTGGCATGTGCAGGGTTTGATCTCCAGCACTGCAAAGGGGAAAAATACAAGTTGCCCGAAGTAATGCCAGGTTAGGAAAGTTCATTCTGCCACTTTCTCTACTTGTCTTCTTTCTGCTTAGTATCTGTTTCCTTGAAGCACTGAGCTTAATAAAACTCAGAAATGAACAGGCACAGGAGTGTAACAATGGTACAGGGGTCCTCACAGCAAACTATGCCATACTCCTTGGTGTATTTTCTAGTGCTCAGCCATCTCAAGGACTGTCTAGATGAAGATCCAGCCACAGCAGTTAGCACAGAGGGCATGCACTGTGGCCATCTTCCTGCCCTGATGCTCTGTGCCCTGTATCTAGGGGAAGTGAGCTGGACTCTTGACCAGGACATAGGTGCGTTCATTCTCCTGCCAGGAAACAATCAGACAGATGGATTTTAGTCAGTCTTGTCAATATGCCACTGAAATGGTCCCACACAGGACAAGTGTTAGGTAAAACAGATGTCATGGTCAGATGCAGTAGGGACTCTTGAGCCACCAGAAGCTTGATTCTCAGAGTGGGCTTGTTTGGAACGTAAAGGATTTCGGAAAGGGGCAGTCAATTAGTTGATTCTCCAAGCACCTTGAGACTCAGCCAGAAGATGTTGTGGGTCTTGTCACC